CCACGCACACTCTGCTTTCAACCCCCCGTCGGTTACTGTACGCGGGGCACATCCGCCTCATGCTGTTTGAACACGTCATAACATGATCTGAGCATATCAGACAAGTGTGCGCGCCATTTCCTGGCCTGCGGCCCACGTCTGGCACCCCCCACCCGCCAGCCACTCAGCCATCCGCCCATGCAGCCGGCCGGCCACCCACCTGGCCATCCGATCCCCCACAACCCCCCCACCCACCCGTCCAGCCACCCCGACGTGCTGATGGCGGCGCTGTCGGCCACCCTGGCCAAGCTGATGGCGCGCGGCGATCCGGACTGGCCGCGCGTCGCGCTGGTGGTGCGGCAGATGGCGGGCGCAGCCACCAGCGACGCGGAGCGCCTGAAGGTCTTTGAGTGAGTGGCGGGGCCCCCGGATCGGGCTGCCCCTTGTGTTGTGTGCTGCGCTCTCCACTCCCTTCACTCACACACGCATGACATGGTAGTTTTGCCAAGCCCTGTCCAAGCCCTTGCGGCGTGGTTGCTGGCTTCCACAGCGGTCGTGATCGCTCTCAGCAGACCTGGCATCGATACTGTTGCCCCCTCCGCCCCAGAAAACGCCATCACGACCCCCCTCCCCCCAAAAAACAGGGAGGCCGCCCAGATCATGGGCTCAGCCCCGCCCCTTGAAGGCGGCGCCAAGGGCTACCCGGAGAGGTGCGGGCGAGGCGGGCGCTGTGTCAGTCTTGCCGGGTGTGCACATTTCAACTTGCCGGCCATGCACTTCAACATGTTGGTTTTCGGGCACCTGTGGTGCCCACCGTTTTATTCGGGTATTCAGGACTGCCGAACAGGCCTGGCAGCAACAGTAGTGCGGTACCCCTGATCAGTGCCCCCCCCCTCACCCCGCCCGAACCCCAGGGAGGCGCGCTGGCTGGCCGCCAGCTGCTGGAACGCGGGCCTGGCCAGGCTGCGCCGCGGCGACAGGGGCGGAGCCGCGCCGCTGCTGCGGCTGGGGCTGGACATGCTGCGCCACCTGCCGCGGTGGGGGGCGCCCGACAGGGCGGCGATGGAGGAGCTGGCTGCGGAGGTGGGGGCGGGTGCAGCGGCTCTTGGGG